GCTCGGGAGTCATTGGGATCCCGGCCCTGCCACACAGGTGCCTGTGACCCCCATGGACAAGACACACTCTGGATGTCAGCACACTCACTGCACTAGCATGCGAGCTCCTGGCACTGGGCAGCCCATCACAGAACAGTAGCAGGCTGTTACCCCTTGCTAAGCCCAGCCTCTGAGATGTACCCGAATTCTGCTTTCCCTTCCCCCACTAGCAGTATAACTTGATTTTCCCTGGCAACAGGAATGAGTGAGTACACAGGCTGAAGACAATGCTCAGACAGTGTACATTAAGGGCATGAGCTGAAAACAAAATGACAAATTCTATGGCCTGCAGCAGCCTTCCCAAATGCATGGGAAGACCTACGGTCTACCCTGCCACGTCCACCCTGCACACAGCGAGCCATCTGTGGGCCCAGCACCTGCCCACTGGAACCAGCCTGGTTCTGCACAACTACTGGAACTCAGGTACCTTTAGAGGACATGTTGGGCCCACCAGCAGGAGAGCTCCTGTGAGACCCTCAGTCATTTCTACTCAACCGTCCATCACCCACTCGTTTCAATTATGTAAGTCCCTGCCATGTGCCCCTCGTGGTGCTAGGCACTGACGACACTAGCCGAGCAGGGCTGCCCTGCTCCTGCCAAGCTGTGGGACAGCAGCAGAGGATGGGCACAGCAGGAGTGCTGAAAGCTGTCAAAGGGAAACTCCGCTTACTCATGTAACTCAGTGCTGCTGTTGGACTGTGAGCTCCATGAGGTCGGGACTGTCCTTGTCACATTCACCTCTGTGTCCTAGCCCCAGGCTCAGGCCTGGCACATAGCAGGTTCTCAACACGTACAGGCTGAATGACCAAGGAAGATAAAGGATGGCTTTGTGAAAACCCATAACCGCTATTAGAAGAAACTCCATTATGGGGCAGAGACTAGGCAGCAAAGACTGTTTTCTGCTCTAATCTCAGTGTTAAAGCCAACGCCTAATGTTGACTTCTGCCTGTTTTCATAACCATCCAACCACTGCTCAGCTTGTTTATTCTGAACTGTAAAAACCACCATTTCAGAAACCATAATTCTGAAGAGTCATGAGGTTCAGAGTCAGCCACACCAGGCCACAGTGAAGGCAGTCCAAATGTCTGGGGCTCTGACCCACCCTCCAGGACGACAAAGTCTCACTATTTGAACCATAAGGGAAATGTCCACTATAGCTCAGGGGGAGGGCAAATCCGAAAGAGGAGCAGGATCTCAGGAAAACTGTATTTCCTCACTGGCTTAGAAGAAATTCACAAGAGTACAACTCATTCCTAAAAAAGGTGGGTATAGAGCTCTCTGAAGAGTGGGCCATGGCAGGCTGTTCAGAAATCCCAATGGCCAAATTCTGTCAGAAATGCAGCTCTCCTAAAAATAAGGATAAGAACACTTAAAAAAAGATTATGCAGTATTTGCCAAAGAATGCAGCATGTCTGTATGTTGTGTGTAACATCAGGGTAGGATAGAGTTTCTGCCAAAAAAGAGAAAAGGTGCCACACACAATTTTAGCCTCTTTGAAGATGTTCTCTATAATTCTTTTTCTTATTTATTTATTTTTTGAGACAGAGTCTCATTCTCTTGCCTAGGCTAGAGCACTGTGGTGTCAGCCTGGCTCACAGCAACCTCAAACTCCTGGGTTCAAGCGATCCTCCTGCCTCAGCCTCCGGGGTAGCTGGGACTACAGGCATGTACCACCGTGCCCGGCCAATTTTTTCTATTTTTAGTTGTTTGGCTAATTTCTTTCTACTTATAGTAGAGACAGGGTCTTGCTCTTTCTCAGGCTGGTCTCGAACTCCTGAGCTCAAGCAATCCTTCCGATCCTCCTGCCTTGGCCTCCCAGAGTGCTAGGACTACAGGTATGAGTCACCACACCCGGCCAGATGTTCTCTATAATTCTTGAACCGTCCTGGGAAGGAGGAATTTGCAATGCCATGTTTTAGGCCTAGGAAACTGAGTAGGTTATTTCATAGCAAGCACCACGGCCCCTCGTCTCCCACGCCACCTTTCCTGCCCCCCAGGAACCCCACTTCCCTCACATTCTCCAGCAAATCCTACAGCACCTAGCACAATGACCTGCTTAACTTCTGTCTTTTCCCTCCAAATGTCACAGCTAAAGGCTCCTGGAGGGCAGGGCCATGTCCCTCCCATGCAGGCACACAGCCAGTATGCAGTAGATGGTTCTGGAATGACCTATGCCAGTTAGTACCTTTTGGAGAAAAGGAGTAAAATTAAACACAAAAGACTTTTCCACCTTGATATCACAAACAAGGCTTTCTTTGGGAAAAGTTGCCTTCCATGTGAAAGAGGAACTTGCCAGCCACCGGGAGAGACAAGCAGCTGGCAGAGTGCCCCTGAGTCTCTCAGATGTAAGCAGGGCCAGCTTGCTGAGCAATCACTCCTCCAGTCAATGAACATGAGGGGGGAGGTAAGAGGAGGAGGAGGAGGGCACCATGAGTAGACATAAGCTGAAGAACGATCTCAGGGGCAGCATCACAAGCTGAGCAGAGCCCGCCTGAGCATTCTTTGGGCAAAGGAGATGGTCTTATCTACTGACATTACTGTAGCTGAGAATTTAACAGGGAGCACAGGAGCTTAAGTCAATGACTGAATTTGTTAAAGCTGCTTGAGTTAATATATGCTCACTGTATACAATGACAATGTTCAGCTCAATTTTTTTTAACAAGCAGCTAAAGACTTCTGCAATAGCACTATATTTAGCTATTAAAATTTCCTAGCAGTTTCTGCCACCAAGTGGGTAATTAAAACAACACTGCCAAAGGCACTGCAGGAACAGATTGCAGACTGTGTGATTACCTCCAGCTCCCACAGCAGAGGGACAGTGTCCCCAGCCAGACCTGTCCTGATGCCCTACACCACTTACATGTGTTCATCCCTTTAACCCTCACAATACTGGGATGTGGATACCATTATTAGCCCCATTTTATAGATTGCGAAATTGAGGCAAAAAAAAAAATTAGTAACTATCCCAAAGCCATATACGGATAGTAAGTGACGAGGCCAGGAATCAAACCCAGGCCCCCTGGCTCCAGAGCAATGTCTTCCCCGTCCCCATTGTCTCTCTTGGCCCATCACTCACTTCGGAGCACCTTCATCCTCCCTGCACCACCGAGCTCAAGGCAGGGACTGATTACAACCAGCCAGCAACATCACTATAGTCACAAAACAGAAAGGCTCCCCACGACTCTAAGGGTTTCTATCTATAGTTCTGGTGCAGTGTTAAGAACGAGGACTGCATTTCTCAAGGCTGGCAGCACGAGAGTGCGCAGGATGTGCACTGCCACCATCTGCTCCACAAGTGCTTCAGGCCACAGCCTCTCTAGGGGTCAGCGAGTGGGACCTGCCTGCCTATGAACCTGTACCTGAAGGTGGGGGCAGATGGGCGGTCCTGAATTCCAGCCTTGTCCCAGGGGCACCTCCAAACTACATCTTGTAACTGCTGGTGCTGATACGGCTTCATCTAGTTTTACCACCAACCCTTCATCACCAACCCTCCTGCGGCACCGTGAGATGCACCTGGCAGCGCCCCCGCTGCAGAGTGGCTGGAAACACATCTGTCATTGTTCCTGTCACTCTTGCTGCCTTAACTGAAATGTTTTCCGTGCAGATGTGTCTCTCTAGCTACTGGAATTTGAGCTGGACACCCCCCAAGAAAGCTGCCACCAGCCGAGGGGCAGCAGTGGAGAGTGCCTGCATGCTCTGTGCTTTTACTTCTGCTGCTGCAGATATCCGCTGGAGGGCAGGGACTCAGTCTGTCACATTCCCTGCTATACCCACACAGGGCCTAGCACACAGTAGGTGCTCAATAAATACATACTTTTAATGAAACAAAGTATTCAACTAAAAGTCAGGGATGACCTTTTTGCCCAATACAGAGGAAAGTAAAGTGTCGACAGAATTTTGAGCTCCTTGCCCATCCTTTTTTAAAAACTTGGGCACTTGTGATCACTTGTCTCTATTAGATGGTAATATCAGATGGTATTTGATTGTAGCCAAAAGTATACACCTAGTTCCTTTAGGTTGATAAAACTACTTCCTGCTAGTCCATAGCAAACACCAGGGCATCCCTCTCATCTCTTCCACCGCCAGAGCCTCCTGTGTCCGGAGAGCACCCACGAGGGTGCTGATGTTTACGTCCCCATCTCGCCCTGGCAGCCTCCCTCGGAAGCCAGTGGTACACCCCATACAGAGGAAGACCATGAGGCTCAGACCACTTAAGCGCATCCCAAGCTCACACGGCTGGTAATGACACAGCTGGGATCAGAGCCCAGAGCTTTCCAACTGCAAAGCCTCTTTCCAAAAAGCCCACAACTGCCAGGAAAGCGCAAGGCGTTTTGCCATGGGGACAAAACTTGATAAAAAATTGACTTTCCTTTAACTAGCAGGCAGGAGAAGTAAGTGAGTGAGGCTCAGGAAGAATGACTCCCAAAAAACCCACAATATAGCCTAATCAGGAAGGGAGTTCCTCACGGGCAGGCAGATGCCCCGACAAGCTCGAAGGCAGTTTGTTTGGCCCTCTGGCCACTTGCTTATGCCACCCAGCAAGGTCTCACATCACAGCCATCTGTGTTACTATACAAAACTCAAAAGTAAGGTGCCTTGCAGGCTAAGCCCAGTAATTACCATATGTCATTCCCAGTCACACGGCTGAACACAAAAAGGAAGATCTGAGAATGGACAAATCACCAAGACCTTTCATAAACAGCCCCAACCTCTTTAAGGACCAAACTCTTCCGTTTTCTAGCAAGGTAGGTTCACTGCCTTCACTGGTGGCCACGGCAAACCTGAACTGGCTGAAAACGAGCATCCACATCTCTCCTGCTGCCGTCTGGATCTGACTGCAAATGCCTGGCTGGTTTTGGAGAATGTTCACCTCATCCTCCTATTCCCCCAAAATAACAGAAAGCCCTGCCGGGCACCATGGGCGGTCACTGCAGTCTGCAAGAAGAAAGCGTGAGCATCACCTCCCAGAAGCTATCGCTGGACACTTCTACTCCAACGGAATCATCATACGTGACAGACATTTCTTCAAAGGGTGAGGGAGCAGCAGGGAATGCTTAGATTCAGGGATTCAACTTCGGATGCTCAAAATCCGTAGATAAACCTACGAAAGAAAAACACACATCATGTGGTTTTTATTATAAATTCCCAAGGTCAAAAAGCAAGTCATCTCTATTTCATAACTTCCCATTTCCATTGATCCTTTAATGCTGTCTAAAATGTTTCCTTGAGGTGAGAGAGAGTCAATAAACTCTAACCATTGTACGTGTGTGTATGTGTACATCTCTCACACTAACAAGTAAACCTCCACATCTTACTGAAAAGTTCAAAGAACTTTCTGAAGAACAGTTTGCATTCTTAGATCAACAGATTGATAATCTTACTAAATGATCTTCCTCATCCTCTGGAGCAGGGGCAGAGAACATGTGGGGCCAGCATGCAAAAGCAGGCAAAGTCCAGCGTCTTCGGGCTCGCCCGGCCCAGGCGTCCCTACCCATCGGCAGGGCTGGTGTCTGGGATAAAACATGAGCGGAAGTAATCCCACCTTCGATACCCAACCCCGCTCCCCAGAGTTCCCACCATGATCCCCTGTGCTGGGCTCTGTTCCCACTCCCCCACCACCATCCTGACCAACTCATCTCAGCCACTGAAGCCCTGAATTCAGACCACTTTACTCTGACGCTGCCCAGGTGTGGCTCAGGTGGAGAGAATAAAAGCAAACAAGCTAAATCAATCATGTCTGAGTAACAGACACGTGATTCCAGGCAAGGGTAAAGGGGTAATTATTTCTCCTGCTAGAGGGAAGAAGCTGAAGGACCCCCACTATGTTCATAAGCATAAATCGCTTTGCTAGAATGACCCGTCCACAGCCCAGATGAAACCCTCTGACTTCTTAGTGAAAAGGTGACTCCACCTTTCTCTACCTCACCCTGTGTTCAGATCATACAGTCAGTGGCTCCAGAGTTGCCCAACTACCACAGTCAGGAGTCCAAAGCCTCAGCGTAGCAACGGGAAGGGGTAGAACAGAACGGCCAACGCTTTTTGAGCACCTACAAGAGGCAGACTTTGTTCTAGGTACTGTTCCACATGCTTTCACACTAATCCTCACGGTTCTCTGTGAGACAAGCTAGAATCACAGTAAGGAACACAGGCTCCAGAGTCGGACTGCCTAGGCTTGGATCCCGGATCCATTACTTACTAGCTGGGCAACAGTGGGCAAGTTACCTACCCTCTCTGTGCCTCAATTGCTTTATCTTTAAAAGAGAGACAATAATGGAACCTACATCACAGAATTGCTGTGAGAGTACATACAAGGGCTACATACGAGGGTTTAGAACAATACGTGGTCCATACTAAGTGCTGCGGACACAGTAAATATTAAATAATAATGTATTTATTATTGTTGCCATTACTATTATATAGTAATTACCATTACTTTTATCTCTATCTTACAGAAGAGAAAACTGATGGTCAGAGAGGTAATGTATTAGTCCCTGGCCGTCCAACAGTGGATGGTAGGGACTAGCATTTGACACCAACTCTACCTGTTTGCTAAGGTAATATTCTCTCCATTACGCTGAGATGTTTTCCGAAAACCATCTCAAATTTAAATAAATCAGATGTCCTATAACCTAAAATCTAATTGCTAATTAAAGGGGTTTAATCTGGTGGATTGCAGAGCTTCCGAAGGTAAACACACCATTGTGCGGCAATAGGTACAAAGAACAGAAGAGATTACGGTACTTCAAAGCCAAGCATTCCAGAGACACTCCTGACAGGAAGAGACAGTTGCTTGGTTGTGACACAAGTGCTGTCCTAACAGCAGGCTCTTACAGGGAGAACCCCAGCGAGGACCCGCACATTGGCTCGGACTCCGCTCCACAGTCCCCTGGCTCGCTAGGATATCACAGAGGCTGGACAGGCCATCTAGCCTGGGCCCAGGTGCCACCTCTCAACAGCATGTCCTATGCTGTGGAATCCTAAGCCACTATCCAGGGCCCTCCAGGAGTGGCCCCAGGCCATGTATGCAGCAGCAGAAAGCCTTCTACCCAGAGCAGCTGGTCTCTGCTCCAGGCTTCTCGGGGAGTACCAGGGCTTTTGGCTCATGTGAGTCCCAATCACACTGCCAGCTGGGCTGCCTGGCCAGCCCTGGGAGCAGCTGCAGGGAGGAACAGCCCCTGTCTGGACTGAGAAGCCGCTTGACACCCGAGCTGCTCAGGCAGAGGCACTCAGGTTCTGCCTGGATGAAGCCGTGGTTTAGACACTAATGGAAGATCGGTTCTGCAAAAGATTTATTAAGAGCCCACTCCGTGCCAGGAGCCAAGGACAGGCTCGGCACAATGCTCAACTTTTAGGAGCAAGAGCCAGACTCACTGTGTAGATACCAAAACCAAGATACTCTCTAGAGCTGCCAGGGCCTCAGAAAGGACACATGCTCTCAGCTGACCCGTGGGAACAAGGAACACCCAGTGAGGGGAAGGGCAAGTCACATAGTGGAGAGCTGGGGTAAGGACCCACACTTGATCACTTTCCCTCTGTGCAGGGCTGAGATTTCACCATAGCACTGTGCTCAGTGACTGTGACATCCCCAAATCATCACTATGAGATGCCTTCACGTTCAACAAGGGCCAAGCACACCCCACCAGCATCCTATGTGGCCACAGCTCAATGTGTAACGACATCAGCTCAACTACCCGGGGGCACTAGACTTCATTTTCATGCTCAACCAGCTCCTCCCACAAATTTTTCACCTCCCAATTTAGACATTCTCCAAGATTATGTATGAATGTCTTTATTAATTTAAGTAAAACAAAAGTAGGAAGACAAATCTCTCTTTGTAAAATTGTACAAGGCATTTAAGACCCAATGTAAATGACTTTTGGGAGTTCCGTACTACCACCTCATTTCTGAGTTGTAATAATTCAGAATTAACTACATTTTCTTTCTGAACCCTCTAAGTGGATCTTACACAGGGTCTCACTGAACGGTGCAGTCAGAAACCGGCAAGGACATGCAAAGCCCTACAGGGGACACAGAGGCAAGGCATAATAAACCCAAATAGACAGAGACAGTGAGGGGAAGCATTGCAGGTCTTGTGCCAGAGTCAGCGAGGTAACACAATGAAAGTGCCCACTGGGAAAGCCTAGGATAGTGGGAAATCACAGGCTTTGAAACTGGAAAGCTCAGGTTCGAATCCCAGCTCTCCCACTGACTAGCTGGGTGACTGTGGGAAAGCCACGCCATTTCTCTGAGCGCCAGTTCCTGTGCTGTGCTTTACCAGGTTTCAGTGAAGGTTACACAAGATGGTAGGAAGGCCCCAGGACCCCAGGTCACAGCCTGTGGCAGGGCCTCTCTCGATGGAGCGCTGCCCTCAGCCCACACCCTTGGCCCCAAGTGTCCTCTCTACTTCCTTCAGCTCCACCCGACAGTCACAAGGAACGTGGACAGAACGGAGGACCTGGGGGACAAGGATCTGCACCACAGAGAAAACCTAACTGATGTTATGGCATTGGTCGACCTGGGAACTCATCTCTGGTGTTCACAGAGCCACATCAACCTCTGGGGCCTGCACTCTCAACTAGCAACTCCTAAGCCCTCTTCTTTCCTGCCTCTGCTCCCGGATGTCAGCAGCAGGGGCCTGTCCTACCGCCCCGTCTCTCCCAGAGTGCCCTGCACCAACCCAGCGTATTTGTCTCTCCTGGCTCCCCACTCTCTGCCATGACAAGCCCCTTCTCCCCACCACCTGCACACCCTGTGGTCTGTCCTTGCGGCTTTTTCCACACCTCCCAGCAATGATCTCAGGTACTCCCGTGACCTCCAATGTCACCAGTGTGCAGGACGCAGCAGCAGCTCTCTCAAGAGTCAGCCTGGCCATCAGAAGAGGAGGAGATCTTCCTCACAGACTGCAGGAGGATTAGCAATGATGAATGAAAGTCATTTGGCATTCATCTGACATCCTTAAAGTGGCAGTCATTGCTCTGAAAATTACCACCCAGCAAGCCACCCAAAGGTGGTGAGAAATGTCGGTGACTGGAGTTGGATTTGACTTTTATTTTCTCATTATTTTTGCTACTGAGATAAGCACTCTTTCTGAGGCTGTCACCCACCCCTGCGACCTTGCCGTCAGCCCTCCCTTCCTCAGTGATGAGGCGGCCAGTCGGACCTCACTGGCCAAACACTGCGCTCCATGCCACACATGTGTGCGCTTCCTTTAATCCCAATGACAATCCTATGGGTTAGCGGTTATCATCATGCACCTTGTTAAAGTGGGGAAACTGAGGCACAGAAAGGGTAAGGAGCTTGCCCAAGTGCAGGAGTTGAGAGCTGAATAAAGGCAGGTTGACAGCAGCTGTGCTCTTAACCACTGACCATAACCACCTCAGTGCTGCGCTAATATCTAGAACATACGTGAAACACTACATGTGCTGCTGTGTCCTGTGCCATCCTGAATGATGCTAACGTCCTGTTCTCATGGGTAGTCTGCTGATCTTGGCCTTTTAAGTGGGTATGAGTAGTTAACTCACCCTGGTTTTAATCTGTTTCCCTTGTTGACACTTGGTGTAAATTATACTTGCTGCTGCTCTGTGAGTTTGTTTTGTTTTTAAAGAAAGAGAGCGTGAGTCTTACTATGTTGCCCAGCTGGCCTTGAACTCCTGGGCTCCAGCAAACCTCCCAAGCAGCTGGGACTACAAGTGTACACCATCCCCTGGCCGTGCCCTATCTTTTTATTCCTTCATGGGGTCATTTGTTGCATAGATATTCTTAATTTTAATATAGTGTAATTCATCAAAATTTTCTATTATAGTTAGTGTTTTTATGTCCTGTTTAAGAAGTCTTTCCTCTTGCTGAGGTCATGAAGACATTCATTCACCCTTATTATCTTTTAAATGAGTGAGGTTTTTTTTTTGGTTTTTACTTTTCACACCCAGAAATGATGTTTGCCCGTGATGTGACATGCAAGTCAGGTTTCATCTCTTCATGTGGATGTTGAGTTGGTCCAGCACCATTTGCTGAAAAAGCCTTCCTTTCCCGCACTCTTCCGCAGAGCCACTTCGTCCGTAGACGTGTGGATCTTTATCTAGGCTCTCTATTCTAGCCTCTGTG